AGAAATCTTTGTCTTAAGCTTCCCAGACAAAGCGAACAATAACAACGAGCAGTTAGTAAAAAGCTAATAACTGATGTTGACTTAGCGACAGTTCATGTGTTGTGAGTGTGTGTTGTTTTTTGCAGCAAACGAAGCAAACCGCAAAGCTGCTCAGAACATTACCAAGCACTTACAACTCAGCCTTTCCAAATGAAGGTATTATGTCCTCTGTTTGTGTTTACATTTATTTCATAATTCAAGCAAATGTTGAATGTATTAGTTTAAAAAAATGTTACTCTTCTGTCATGTCTTATGCTTTATAAGAGCTTTCTTAACATTTTCTTTTTTGTTTTCTAGTTTTAGGAAATATATATAATGTAACTTAAAAAAAACAGGGATATAGGAATTTAGAAATCTGATAGGACAGCTGCATCATGCATTAATAAGGTGAGAGTGTCTGCCTTTAATGTAATCTCAGATTTTGAGAGTGCAGCCCAGTTACACCTCGCTGAAGTGCATGCTAAAGGCCATCTGGAAGAAAAGGGTATAGTGGCTGCCATGGAGACAGTCCAAACACGGAGATCTGGAACAGTAGAGCAGTACAGCCGACAGCAGGAGCTCACCAGCATTTCCTTGGAGGAGAAGAAAATTCTGCTCTGTCTGGATCGACTCAACCACGAGCTTCAATGTAAGGACTTTGTGAAGGCCGTTAAAATCAGGCCAGAATTTTTCTGACCTGTGTATGACAGAAGAGTGTTAACATGATGTCGGTGCAGCGTAACCACGCCAACCTGTTACTATTTGCAGGTGTGCAGGAGCGTGTTGGGGGCAATACTAGCATGCATGGTCTTGTACTTAGTGATGCACCCTATGTAAGTATTTAGCAGGGATTTATTTCTTTCCTCAACAGAAATGGTGACTTTGTTGAAGATCATTCATTTCTTAACTTCTGTCTCCATTTTCAGACAAGAGAAGTGAAAGCGTCAATCCATAACAAACACTGTGGCTCCTCGGCTAACATTCACTCTCGATACCACCAGAAGTCCTGACTTGAAGCTTGTGTTCGCCACAGCAGTCTTGAGCCCTCGTCGGTGCACTTTATGCTGAAGCATGTTGTTGAAACAATTACACAATTACCTCGCAAAAGGAATTTTTACAAAGTGTGTCTTTTTAAGTAACTAAGGATCTGAAATATAAACAGCCTTGAATTGCAAAGACAAAAAAAGACTTATCAGCAGCTTTAGAGCACACTTAAGCTACTGACTATCAAGCAATCTAAGTCTGAAGTGCCTATTTAAATGAGAAAGGCTTTAATCTGTTTTTAAGTTACAAAATGCAAAGATGCTCTTGTTTCAATCAATACATGACCAGCCCTGACTGCAAAATATACAAACACTATCAAATTGTATATGTTAAAAGTTTAAAGGTGTACCATTCTGTATTTATTTTGCATAGTAACACTATGACTTGGTGGACTGTTTTGCAGCAGTTCAGCAGTGAACTGAATAAATGTTGTTGACAGTTTGCTGATGAACTCTGTGTTCGGCAGTGTTACAATCAGTGAATTGACCGAGGCCTGGAAGTGGTTTATGAAAAGTTTTGCAGCGTTGAAGGTGTGTTTGTCTTTCTTTTATGGCTGTGGAAAAGATGATTATGGCTACTGGACTCAACCTACTGGCTCAACAAGCCGAGCCTCTACAGAGAGGTTTCTGCAGGTTTCTCTTCAGGTTGCACCTATGCTGCATTTTATTTTTGCTTTAAGGCTTAATTTATTTAATATTGCCCTCAATCTATAGTAACATCAAAAGACAAAGCGTGCTATTATTTGATACTAGTTGTTGTTTAAAGTGTATTTAATTAAAAACTTCTCTGTCTTCCTTGGCAAAAAATAGGTTCATTGGGGGAAGACGCTGTAGGGATTATTGATGTGAGCTGCCCCTCCTTCTCTGGCGTGTCTGGGTTTGTCCCTCTGTCAGCCTGCTAGGACTTGTTCCAAGAGCTGAAGGAAGCCCAAGCTCATCTGAACAATGATGGGACTTTTTTTATAGCTTAACTGCAGGTTTCTTTGCTGGTCCAAGATGGAGCTATAAACGGTAATGTGACAATGTTGTCTCGTTGCCACATCGAGTCGTGCATCACCTCCTTGTTAGCTTACACCAAAACTGAGAACAGCAACAGAGGGAAACAATGTATTCATTTTTAGCATATGATTATGCCCACAACAGCAGACGCACTTTGACTCGTTACATTTGAAGAGATTCTCCAGTGAAACATACAAACTGTCCAATGTGGTTAATTGACAATGAGCGTCAGTGTTATTTCTACTCAGTGTGCATGAGACAATTATAAAGGGAAGAAAACTACTTTTATCTGAACTGATGCTGATATTTAACATATTTGAGTCCTACCTATTAACAAGAAACTGTCTAGTAATAATACTTAGACTGCCCCAATAAAAAAGAAAAAAAAAAACAACATAAGCGTGCACACAAATAAACACAATCATGTAGAGTAAGTGTTCATATTCAGATAAAACACTGAAATTCTGAATATTCTGCTGTAGGTTTGCCCTGAAATCAGTTCCGTTTGGCCTGGCACCATTATTGTTCACAGTCATTATGCTGTACAATGGTGAGTGTAATGAGCTTTAAGCCTTAACCAGCACAACACCCAGAAACTGAACAAGAAAAGGCAAGAGTGCTGAAAATAAGGGGAGACATTTTCACAGATGCAAGTTCAAGCTTGTGCTTTGGTCTGTTGTGAAGCTTAAGCTGTCAAGCATTTTGTCTTCTTTTGTTACAGTCCATTTAACACGCAATGAATGAGTGTCTGGAAAAGCAATATTGCATGCAACAAAAAATGACCGAAACAAACCTTGACTTTAAAAAAAATCTGAATATCTTTTGTAATAAAACAATATGCACATGGATGGAAGGTTGGAAATTATGCTTTACGTGTTTAGATCAAATTTGTAATGATAACAATGGCTTTAAAGCTCAGAAAATGAGTGATAGCTAAGATTTATGCATAAAACTGAACGATTGTAGACAATAACATAGTTGTACGTGGTTTGTTCATGTTTAAAGGAAGTCAGAAAGGAAGGGATAGACACTGCAATAGTTTGTTTATTGGGATAAATACCGATTGTACACTGCAGGGGGCGTGCGAGCCTTCTACTCACTTGACTGTAGCAACAGTGTGTCAACATATCTGTAATAGCCAAACAGAAGGGCAAAGCGCTTTACACAAAGTGGACTCATACAGCTACACTTTCGATCACAGGTTGATTCTGCTTTATAGCGGCCATATAATCGTTTCTAGTAATATCCAATCGAGAGCAGTGAGGAGGATGGAAGGCTTACAAAAAGTGACCAAACTCGGCGTGGTGGGTGGTCTTCTTGGCGCTGCCGGGACACTGCAGTCCATCTCTTTAATGTGTCTGACTGCGTTACAATGATGTGAAAATGGCCACTTTCTTTGAAACAATGGACATTTTTTTGACTGGCAGCATGTGTGCAAAGACTGTTTCCTTCATTCATCAAATTAGAGCAACTTTTAAAACAATAATCAAGTATTTCACAAATATTAAAAGTTCTCTCGCTGTCAGCATTTTACTAATCATTTATTAGTCACATCAAAGTTTAGCAGGACCAACATGAATTCCTATCAGTACACCAGTATGGTGGATTACAGCGATGTTAAATGTTTCTAAGATTTTGAAGGTGCAGCATTGTTAAAAAGTAGTATCTGTCCGAAAGCATGTGGGTTGAGTGTGACTATCAGTCTGTTAAGGAGGTTTACAGTGTCTGTGGATATTTAATAGATCTTCATAATGATGCATTCAATGGATGTATGGGAAAAGCTGAAACAGAGCCTCTATATCCAAAGAGGGTGGATCTTGACAAAATGATTTCTCAATGGGAGAGGGGCTGCATTAGCATAACAATTGTGGGAACTGCATGGGTCTACTTTTCATGAGCACTGTAACAAAAAAAGAGAGTGCGAGAGAGACAAAACTGTACTATTACACATAGTGATGATAGTTTTTTTTTCTTATCTTTGCTCAGATTCTTGGAAAAGTGTTTATCTATATTGTGTCATAATGTTATAAATAAATCCTGCAAAGAAAAATGGTGTTTGCCAGTGTTACTTTAGTCAGATTTTCCGTTTGCAAATGCACTTTATTGTAAGTTATTATGAGCTTTAGTTCAATATGAATTTGATTTTCGTTTTCTTTTTGGTCCTTTATTTTCTTGTTTTTACACTAGAAAAACTTTGGT